ATTAATTATATTAAAAAATATAATTTACATTTTAATATAAATTAATGAAGAATGAAGATCCTCACAAAAAACAAAGAATGGAGGGTAGATTTTACCCCTATAAAAATTCTCGACAAAAATTCCCATCCTCATCATTCGTAAGAACAGAAATGGGGAGGAACCCCAATCTTGAAGGACCCTGTTGCCAATCCTAACTCAGAGTCAAGGAATAGAAAAATAGGAAGAACAGCAATAAGAGTTGCTGTGGGGCACGCATGCTATGGTCAAAATCCACTTTATTCCATTTATGTCAATGTATATAATTGTAACCCTCCGTTTAACTTAATTTTTAGTAATTATCCTTTCTCTTTTGTTAGGATACTGTGTATTTATTCATTATATTTTTTATTTATATTTTAAAAAGATAATGGCAAAATATAGTATAATAAAAGTTTTTAAATACTAATTAAATAAGAGTTAATAAAAAAATTTATTAATTAAGTATTATATTTTTATTTTATTGTAAAAAAATTAGAGTAACTAAAATTAATGGGAGGAGCCTATGGAAAGAACTGAGGGAGTATGTTCATTTCTAAAAGCGGGACTGTTAAAATTATCATTATATCAGCAGATCATTAGAACAGCTAATTATGTCAGAAAAATAACGGAAAAGGGAAAGCATCATCTAGAAAATGAGTGCTGAGATATAATGGCTTGTCTACTTTTCTAGTGAGATCAAACCATATTCATCTCTATATCATCATGTCATGCACATTTCACATTTCCCATTTCCCATTTCACCGTACAGTAATATGACACTTTCTAGGGCATCTGACTTTCTGATTTAGTTGGTAAAGTGAACGTTTTTATTTTCTATCCAAAAGAGATAAATTCGAATCCTCCCACCACAACATTTTTATAAAAAAATAAATTAAAAAGGGGGAAACAATGTTCCACTGTTTAGGACATTTTATCTAGATTTACCTTTTAAATGATCATGGCATGACATAAACAATAGTCTTCCAGACAAAGCAAACTGCAGTTGAAAATGAGGCTAAAATCCCAGATGTTTGGGCAACTTAAACTAGTGCCAACCAAATCAGGCAAGGTGTATAAGAAAAGCAAATTCAAGTGTCACTCGTGTTCTCTAAATCTATACCAGTTTCTTTCTAGATTAACGAGGTTAAATGTTATAACAGCACTTTACCATGAATTGCAACGGACTGCTCTTCATAAGAAGATTTTCTAGCATCATTAACACAAAAAAGTTGTATTGAATGAAGAAGACCAAACACCCTATTTACACCTTGCACATTAATTTTTTCACAATCAACACTTTTTATAATTTTCACTTCCAATCAACACCCTTCAATATTTGAAACCTACAAAAAAACCCTCAAATTACCAATAAAGTTAAGGTGCAAATAAGGAGTTTGATAATTAGTTTTTGAGTTTTTTACAGATTTTAAATTATGAAGGGTGTTGACTAGAAATAAAAATTTTTGACAGTGTTGATTACGAGAAAAAAATAATGTATAGAGTGTAAATAGGAGATTTGATAGAAGGAAGAATGCAGATTGAAGTTTAAATAAATTGTATTTTTTTGAGGAAAATGTTGCATTTCTCTATTATGTTGTCATAATGTCAATAGTTTTCTGAAGATAAATTCTTAACTTCAAAGATGCATAAGAGTGAAGATTCTACTGCACTCTAGAAATTTACATATTGTCTTCTACAGGGGAAATTTACATATTGTCTCCTACAGGAGAAATTTATGACTTCTGATCAAGAGTCAGCAGATCAACATCTAACAAAAAATATGTAATGTTCCTTCCAAATGATCAACATTACGGAATAAAAGGAAAATTAGAAGAAACTTAAACAAATGAATTGTGTCAAGGGTCAAATTACCTCCAAATTAATCATTCTGGAGGAAGAATCAAGTGTCTTACACATTTCTTCTGATTGTGGGTGGCGAAGATCACCTGCAAGGAACTCCTCAGCCACACCATTCACCTCTCTCACAATGCATCCAGGTTTCTTCCTCAGTCCTGCCTCTGCATAAACTTTCTTACTCTTGCTGCCTCTACATCCCAGCCAGCTTCGTTATACATATTATAAGAAAGAACATGAATACTGTGACACTCCATATACTTTAGTGAATAAATTAAAAATTAAAGTTTTTTATTTTATAATTTTGAGGATTAAATTGTTTAAATTTAGGGTTTGGGGGTTGTAAATAAAATTTAAAAGGAGTTGAAAGATGTTTAACTCAATTATTTCATTTTTTGTGCCATGTGGCGCAGGAAACTTATGCTTGGACTTAGAAGGTTTTAGAAACTCCGTGAGTCTTCCTCTTAAAGATCTAGAAACAAAACCATTCCTCTGCATCTTTCCCTCCCAAAACAGCCAGTCCCCTGCACTTTTCCTTCCCTTTCCAGCCAATTGCAATGTGTAGGGATGCACTCCATTGAAATCCCTTTCAAATTTTATTGTTCTTTTTAATTTGTTGCTTTGATTTTCAAGTAAATATGAGGTTTAGCTATAGATTTGGGTTAGAGTTTTGGGTAAATTATAAATTTTGCTATAATATACTAAAAATTAGTTTAAGTCGGTGAAACCTAACTCTGAATCCTTTGTTTAAGAGATTTTTGGATATTAGAATTTTGTTTAGCAATATTTGGAATTTTGGGTGTATGCACGGTTTGGAGTTTGAAGTGAGTTTTAGTTTTATGCTTGAATAATGTGTGAATTTTATTGGTTTAATTATTTGCTATTGTTGTTTTGATTTTTCTTTGTACATTTATGTGAAGACTTTTGGAAATTTCATAATAAAGCAAAACATGTGAATGCTTACTTGGAGTTTGGGTGCTACCCGTGACTTGTTGCATTTGAGTTTTGGTTAATTAATTATGCATTGTTAAAATAAGAAATCAAGTTTAACTCTTGTTAATGAAATTTATAGTTATGCATGGATATTTAAAGTGGAATGCTTTAGAAATGCAACCGATTAAGTGCAATAATAAATGGAATGATATTCTTATATTATTTTGGATGAGTTTTGAATTTGTTTGACATGTGTATATGTTTGTGGTTATGGAGTAAGTGGATCTAAGCTTAAAACTTGTGGTATTTAGTGGAACCTTTGGGGTATTTAGTGGATCTCTGCATAGTAAGATGAGTGCCGTGATTAGCTTCGGTACTAATGTTGCTAGCACACATCAATGGATTTCACAGCATTGTGTGATTTTTGTTTTATGCATTATACTTGTGACATCACATTTGTGAGCATATGGTTTTATGATATAGATCTAATTCAAATGTCATTGGTTATTCCTTGACATGTTTGATTGTCTGTGAACAAATTTATGATATTAAATTATTATTTAAATACTAACATTTATAATATTATGTGGCTTGGTTTAATTGTCTATTGTGCTCTTTGTGTGTATAGGTTTAGGAGTCCTAGGATCCAAGTTCATAGTTTTAACTTAATATTTATTGGGTTTTTAGCTCATGATATTCCCCCCAATTTCAGATTAGTAGATTCGAGTATTAGCCATTAAGCTTAAGAGCTTTCGGTATAGGTTCCATGCTTGTTGTAAGTAAAAGTTAGGACCTTTGGGCTTTTGATGTAAAAGCAGATTAATTTATTACCAAAACGATGATTTTGCTTTTATTATTTTGGAAAGCTTTTGAAAAGTATTTTATTTTCATGTATTTTTGTGTAAGTTACTTTTATGTATTTAATCTATAAGTCAATGAAAAATAGGCTCAAACTATGTTATTTCATAGCTTTGGGCATTTTATATCTTTTTTTAAAATATATATTTTGGTAAATTAGTTTTCCACTCATAAGTATTTTTCTTTCATTAGTTATATTTTATATGATGTGCAAACAAAATTCTTTTACAAAGACACATTTTTCCATTTATAAGTGTTTTATTTCCGCTGCATTATTTTTTCTAAATTTTCTGGGTAGACACTCCCACATAATCAATGGTACCTAAGGGAGGTGTCTTACAAGCACCATAATCCTGTATTCCCATCTCAGCTAGCTTCTTCAAGACTCTGTTTCCTACATCCACATTTCATAGATTCTACATGCACCAAGAAGATCTCCCCAGACATTGGCATCACCTCCTCCTAACCCTCCCATTTTCTCCTCTATAAACTTCTCAGCTTCCTGTACCATACCCGCTCTAGCTAAAAGGTCAACAACACATGCACAATGCTCAGGCTGGGGTTCAATCCCATAGACGGTACTCATTTGGTCAATAACCCAAGGCCCTTTCTAACCATCTTTGAACGCGTACAGGCAGAGAGAAGAGCAACAAATGTAGTCTCTGTGGGACGTGTTCCACTTATAGCCATTTGATCAAACAGTTCAATAGATTTCTTCACATCACCACACAACGCTACACCTGAAATCATAGCATTCCAAGCCCCAATATCCCTCTTACGAATGCCCACAAAGACAGAGATAGCTGATTCCACATAACCACATTGGCAATACATATCAACTAATGCAGTGGCTAAGATTGTGTTTGATTCAAGATTGTAACGGTTAACATAAGAATGAATCCATAGAGTTTGACTTAAAGCAGCAAGGTGAGCGTAAGCAGTGAGAACAGTGACAAGAACTGACTCTTTCGGCTTAGTGCCCTGTTCTCACATTCTCCTAAATAACGAGAGCACCTCTTTAAAGTCACTAACCACAGAATAAGCAGCCATTATTGCACTCCACGAATCATGTTTCTCTGAGGCATTTCCTCAAACAGAAATCTCGCATTTTCAATGTCCCTAATCTTCCCATGCCCGTCAATCATCGCTGTCCACATAACCACAGCTCTTTCAGGACTTTTATCAAACAACAAGCGCGCAGGTGCTAGCTATATCATGAACCCAAGCGTAAAAGTCGATTAAGGAGCTAACAATAAAAGGGTCATTTCCAAATCCGAATTTAACAACATGGGCATGGACTAAACGGCCAATTACCATGGACCAAAGAGCAAGAACTGTACAGGCTTTAATAACTGGCGAGAAGGTATACTTATTAACCTCAAACCCATATCCTAACAAATCTAAATACAATAAAATAGCAGGTATTGGTGAATTGGCCTGTAGATACCCTCTAATCATGGTGTTGTACATAAAGGAATTCCGGAAAGGAAGATGGTTGAAGATCAAGCGAGCGTAGGAGAAGAAAGACCGATCACTGGATGTTGCAGCCACCGAGAGACGCGGTGCAATAGCGGATGGGTTTTGGGGTAGGAGTGATTTGAGGAGGTATGCATGAACCTGTTTGAGTTGAGTGAGAGTTCTGCACTCTCGTGAGAGAGAAATAAGCTGGGTAGTCGCGACCGCATTTTGAACCATTTCAGGTACGCGGAATCATTTGAGAATTTTGAGCTTGATCTAACATAAATTGAGTTAGCATTAAAATCAAGGTTTGGATTCACTTGATCAAGTTCTGTCTTGGAGTTAACAAGCAAAATTAGTTTATAGAAAAAGTGTTCTGCACTGAGACTATGGGAAAAATGGTTAAGGCCACGAATTTTTGTTAGCGCCACACAAAAATTGTAAGTACTTCGTTTTTTTTTTTTTCAACAATATTTGAGTTTGATTGTGAGAAATAACTGATAATTGTAATAGTTAATTAATAGTTTATAAAATAGATTATATTTATTATTTATTATTTAAAATTAATTTATATATTAACATTTATTAATATTTTAACTAGTTTTAAATTAACAAAATCAGTTGAATCAAATAAATTTATTGTATTAAAAAATTTATATGATCATAAGCATGACCTTATATGGGATGTGGCTTTAAAATCTTTTGAAGAGGAATTACTTTCTACTTGTGAGAAAATTGGTTTAAAAAGATCCGAAGAGTCAAAAATGTAAAAAAGAAAAAAAAGAGTGAGCCCAAATGGAAAACAGTGAGCATTAATGCCAATTTTGTTCATCTTCGGTTAATATTTTGATTTTGAGTTTTACAATGAAATGCAAATGAAATGCAAAGCAACTCTTTCTCGTATTTTAATTTACTCTACTCATATGTCTTGCCATTCGAATTTAAAATTTTTTATTTTTACAAGAAAAATATTATTTTTAAACTAGTTAGATATCAATTATGTATGTTTAGCTAATTTTGGTCCTGAACTTAAAGGTTTTTCATGTTTTTGATTCTTGGAATTATTTAATGACATGGCAAAGATGAAGCCCATTTAATAATATTAACAAAATTGATACCCATTTATCATTTAATTTATCATAATAAATTATTAAAGATTAAAAAAAAAAAAAAAAAAACCTTTGTGCCAATGAAGTCCTTGACTCAATGGCAACGGCTAAAGAGTTCAACTTTCACCATCTACGGCTTTTTTCAAGGTTTTTTTTGAATTGTATACTTTACTTAAATAGTTTATGTTTTGAGTAGGCTTTGTAAGTTTGTTTGTTGACTTCATATATTATGATTAAAAAAAAAAAAAAACCTTGTTTGTTCTTCAATTGGAAGAACCCAGAAAAGGCCATGCCAGGAAATGGTTGTGTACGGTTTTGGGTAATTAAATTTTGGTTTGCTAATTTCGGGTGTATTGATTTAGATCTCAATTATGCAAATATTTAGAGTGTTTCTGAAAGTGACATAAATGAATTTGAGCACTGTTCTTCGTCCTCGGTGCAGCACTCTTCTTTCACATGCATTCAACACATGATCAGACACATCCTCCATATAGGCCGTAGAGATGGGAACAATATCATGTTTGTTTATAACCAGAAAAACCAATAGAAAGAGCAGAAGCAATATTCACAATTCTAACAACAGGAAGTTTGGAACATAAGCAAAACAGGTCTGATGTTTGGTACAAATTTAGATTGGAATGAGACCCATATTCACAATTCTAGCAGCATGTTTCTGGACCATCCTGAAAAATTTGACATGATCCTGCAAAACATAGAACAAGGCTTATAACCATAGTACTAGAAGCACGATATGATCTACATGATACATTAACAGTCAACTACATAATTGTCTTAATCTGTCATATTGCAGAGGAGTAATCAATAGAGTTCCCAAAGTATATAAACCTGATCAGTTTGCCCCCACGATTTTCTCCATGATCTTGTTCAGGCCAATTTTCACGTTAATAACAATTCTGCAAAACCATAATCAAACAAGTGGGCAAAAAGGAGCGAAGCAGATGATAGTCGAAAAACAAATACTAAAGAACATGAAGAGAAAGAAAGCAACCTGCGCCTTCCGAATTCGGTTCCCTTCCGTGGTACAGCATCAATTGGAATTTCAGCGCTAGCATGCCCTGCAAGAAGAACCTTGGCATTGTACTTGATCATAGATGGGTCTATAGGGGTCCACCACTGTGATTGCTGCACTCCTGTTCCCACCAGATGAACGTACACAGAAACAGGATTTTCTTTGCTGTCATTGCGGAAAAGGGTGGTGGGAAAAACGTAAATGTGTTCATGAGATCCAATTATTTCCTCCATGATTGTATCTCCATTAACTCCCCCCTGCATTACACGAAATACAAGCAGTTCTTGGCCCCTGTTTTCCACACGGGTAGCCTTTCGAAACAAACGTTGCCGGATACGGTCCATGGTTGTTCTACTGCCCAAATCAAAGAGAATCATAATTCACAGAAATTGTGTTTGTTTCTTGAGAAAAGTGAAAAAATAAGAGAAGAAAAGACAAGAAAAGAAGGGTGTGATAATTTATGCATTTATCAATACATTTATCAAGTGAAACTCAAGCCCCTATTTTTCTCAAGAAACAAATCCAGTTTTTCAAGCGAATGTTTTTCCCAAGAAACAAACGCAATTTCAAGCCCCTGTTTTTCCCAGTTTTCTCAAGAAAAAAATGCAGACCCAACAACGAAAAATCAAGAGCTAGAAGCATACCTCGCCCAAATTGAACTCAAACCAGTACTTCTTTTCTTAAAAAACAAACAATCAGCCAGGAAAAACAATACAGAATCGTTAGAATCAATAGGCAGAAGGCAGATACACACATTTATGATTTATCAAATCGAAATCAAACCCCTGTTTTTTTTTTTTTTGTTCTTCTCCCAAGTTTTCCTCGACAACACGAAGCCAAGAACAATGATATTCGATAAAAAAGCAATACATTGCATTCATATAATGAGAAAAAGAAGAGTAGAAAGAAAAGACTCCATGAGAAAGGTAAAAAGCTTTACCTGAAACAGAGAGCTCCCGTATTCTAAGTGTAAGTTGAGGTTCTCAGTTTGAAGAAAGAAAATGAATGCTGTATATTCTCCTTTCACTTTCTTTTGGCCGTTTTATATTGTCGGTTTAAGTGTACAGTGGCCGAAAATTTTGGGCGGGAACCATCCCCTGCTACGATACCGTTGAAGTTTGTTCCAGCGAAGCCGCCAGCCACGGTGGAGATGTGAAACGACTATGGAGAATCCGGTCAACTCTGATCCTACGTGGTTTTTCTGCTTTTTTTTTTTTTTT